GGTGTTGGCCAGAGTGGTCACCAGGGAAACCTGGGGAGGGCTAGCCTCCCACTAGTTCGAATTAAGGGTCTACACAGCCCTTAATTCGAACTAGTAATTCTAACTAGGCTTAGTCTTCGTGGAATGAGGTTTACCTAGTTCGAACTAAGCGCTCCGCTAGTTCGAATTAAGTTCAAACTAGCGGAGTACTAGTGTAGCGCCTATCAAAGTTAATTCGAACTAACGTCCGTTAGTTTGAATTAACTTTGTAGTGTAGACATACCCAGAGTGAGATCTGACCCTTATGCATTATGACCCTGGTTGGGAGTCATTTGCAGATACTGAACCTGAGACTTCAGAAGCTCAAAGCATGAGTCTCTCCTGTGTGTTAGCTTGGACTCAAACCTCTAAATGTGGCAGGGGGAAGGGAGGGAGACAATAGTTACACTGTGTTAACATGGGTCACATTCACAATTAGTTTCTATAGAAGCCTGTGATCTAAAACCCCCTGAATGTTGAGAATGTGTGGATCTGGATCCAAACCTTGCAGCTTGAGACCACCTCTAGTCTCCACCCATAGAAGGTTTCACTGAAGAGATCTGTCGTGTATGATGTTAGCCAGCTTTCAGTTTGCACTTTTATTCTTCATTCTAGTGCTGCTGAGAAGCACGACAAACGTGCTTGTTTTTCCTGCTGGCTTTGTCTTCAGTTTGCAAATGTTTCCTTTGTGTCTAGCTCCGCAAGAAGTCCAAGCAGTAGGCCATGTTGTGCCATTTTCCTTATATGTGCATAGCTCCGAGAAAGAAGGTGGCCTGTTAGCTTGTGTTCCTGTTGAACAGCTCCATCTGCAGTGCAAGATAGTTTAGGCCAGCGATTCCCAAATGCCAGTCCACGGCCCACTGCCAGGCTACAGACTGCTTGCTGCTAGCATCTCTGGGGGCCAGGGCTGGAGTACACCGCTCCCACCATGGCTGTTGGGAGAGGCGTGTCCTGCCCCATCTCTCAACCAATCAGTGATGGGCGGGGGGAGGAAGGGGAGGCTCAATAATATTTCTCAATTTTAAAAAATGTTTCTGAAATTTTAGGTGGAGGAATTTCAAAGTTTTGTTTCAGGGAATTCTGAATTTTTCCCCCCCAAACTGTTTAGTTACAGCACAAACAGGAAACAATTTGATCTGGAAAAGAAGATAATCAACCAATCAATCAATTCTAAGTAGCAACTACCATAGATTATTTTTAAAATGAAATGAAATAAAAAGAATAAACCATTTCAACCATTATATTATGACACATTATGACGTATCAGCTCATAATAGTGTATGTCATTAAGTAATATAAAATATTATAAAACAAAATTCAAAACAAATTTTCAAAATTCCAAAATGAAAATTTTCGCAAACGGAAACATTTTGTCATTTCTGTTTGGAAGGAAAATTTGAAAATGTTTTTTTTTCTTCTGAATCAGAAAGAAAACACATTTCAAAATGTTGAAATTTCCTGTGAAATGGACATTCTGACTTTCAGACAGCTCTACAAAGAAGATCCAACTGACTTGTGCAGACATCTCAAGTTTTGGACACAGATGAGATCTCCTCAGATGTATTCCTATTTTAACTGCTCATTTTTTCTTTTTATAGTACCTGTGCTGGTGGCCAGTGGGTTTGTGTGTCTCGGCCTCTTTCTGGAAATTGCAGTATAAAGGGAGGATTCCACGTTAGCACATTTGATAACAAAGAGTTCATTTTTCATGGCAATTGTCATTATGTCTTAGCTAAGGTAGGAAAAAGAGCTTCTTATTTTTTTTTAATCTGTTAGGCTAAAAAATTAAGATATGTTAGAGCTTCATTGCTTTATTTGCTCAGATAGTCCCCAGTCTAGCAAAGCACTTAAGCTTAGCTTTTAAGCAGGAGTGGTCCTATTTACTTTTCCAGTAGACCTATAAGTGCAGATTTCCTCACTTTGTACTGGTGGACAATTGTCTGGCAAATGAAGGTTGAGGAGTTGGCCCCTTCTTCTACAAAGATCAAACTCCAAGTAGTACTTCGAAAAATAGACTAGTAGCAGATGCTGATGGAATGGATCATAAGGGAAAGCGTAACAGGCATGATTTTAAGTGGGAGCGAAAGATAAACATTTTGCAATTGGAGTTGGCATGTCTGGTTCCTTTCTTATTTCCCTATAAAACTTTTAGAGTACATCTACACTGCATGGAGGTATTCTGAAATAGCTACCCCACATCTACACAAGCCACCCGTTATTTCAAAATATTTTTCGATTGTCAATCAGGTTAAGGAATGGCATGAAATAGCACTTTATTTCAAAATTTGGTGCTGTGTAGACATGCCAAATTTCAAAATAAGCTATTTTGAAATACATTCAAAATAAGGTACGCAATTTGTATAGTGCAAACTGTGCATCTTATTTTGAGTTTAAGGTGCTGTGTAAACACACACACACAGATCTATTTTCCTTACTGCTTGCTTCTTTTTATATGACAGAAGATGGATCACATATCTGTTTTTCTGGCTTTGTTTCAGGACGTTGGCAGCAGGTTTGTGGTTGCTGGAGAGATCATTCAGTGTGGAGTATCAAGTACTATGACTTGCTTGAAGAATGTATTAGTCACATTAGGAGCCCTTGTAAGTCACTGATAATGACTTAGGTTAAAAACAAATGTAAGGGCCGGGAAAAAGCATCCAGCCGCCGTCATGCCTGCATTGTTTTGGTTAAATGTTTGTAATATTCCCCTACAAGATCAGAGCTCCATTCTGTTAGGCTCTGTATAAACATGTAAGAAAAGGCAGGCCTTTCCCCAAAGAGCTGGCAATTTAAACAGGTGAGATTGTTGAAGGGTGGGTGAGGGGATTTAGTATTATCCCTGTAGAACATAGAGACCCACATAGCAAGACTATGACAGAGTCAAGAACCAAACATAGATCTCATGGGTCCTTGTTTCTTTGATACTGGATTGTCATTGTGGCATATTTCATTTTCCATTTTCAGAACATACGACTCTGTTCCTGTGGAAATGTCTACATCAATAATTTCATTGCGGTGCTGCCAATAACAAGAGGTCAGTGTTCCTTCCTCAGGGTTCACACCTGCCCCTGGTTATCCCACACCTGCCTCCTGCAGGATTCTTGCTCATTTCTTTGAAGCAATCTGTTTCTGGCCATTAGCAGAGTCAAGATACTGGACTAGGTGGGCCATGATCTGATGTAATATTCCAGTTGCTTCATTCCCATTCGGTGAGCAAGTAAACAGAGGTGTAAACTTGGTATGGCCAACTCTTCACATAGATGCAGACTTGTGTGTATGTTCTTGGTAAAGATGTGTTTTTTCGGTAGGTGGCATCACTATCTTCAGACCCTCGACATTCTACATCAACATCATGACCTCGTTGGGAGTGCAGGTTCAAGTGCAAATAAAACCCATTATGCAGCTCTTCATAACAGTGGATGCATCTTACCAAAATCATACATCTGGTATTGTATATGTCTACTCATGCTGTAATGGTACATCCATGACCCTTCCTGTCCAACTTTGACCTTAGTGAATTAAGAGCCTTATTGATATACTTTGCATCCCTGGAACAACAACAAATAAAGTCTAAGTAGGATCCACAAAATCCTTCCACTCTGCTGAGGTAGATAATTGAATTTCATATTATGTGGTATGGGAGAGTCTTTTGAATTATTAGACTACCAGAAGATTTATCTGGCATTGCTTGGGTCCTTCAGGGCAGGAGGCTGTGGCTGTGGTGAGTTCAGGAGCCAGGGCAAGGACTTTGGGATGTGGTGGGTTCAGGATGGGGGCTTGGCGGGGGGCTAAGGGCAGTGGGAGTAGAATCATAGAATATTAGAACTGGAAGGGACCCTGAGCAATCATCAAGTCCAGTCCCCTGCCCTCAAGGCAGGACCAAGCAGTATCTAGATCATCTCTGTAAGAATCAGGGCAGGAGGTTGGTAGGTGTGTGGGGGCATATGGCAGGGTGTGGGAGTGCAGCAATACAGACAAGGTCTGGAGGGGGTGCACGAGTCAGGGTAGGGTGTTGGGCCCAGACTCAGGGGATGTGGATTAAATGTGTAATTTTTCCACTTTCAGTTACACTCTGGGCAAATCCCTTAACCTCTCTGTGCCTTTGTTTCCTGCTTGTAAAAAGGGGTAATATTCTGTTTCTCCAACATTTTTTGCCATGTCTTTGAGGCAGGGCCTACCTCTCATTATGTGTATGTACAGCACCAAATGCTGTTGGGACCCCTTGGTCCTACTGTAGTATAGGAAAATAAAAATTATACCGTAAATAAATTTTACTGTGTGTGGACATTAAATATACCATGCAAGATAAGTGTTTGTTTCTTACTCCCTGGATGGATACCCAGAGCAAGTGCATCCCTCTGAATTTCAAAACCCTTTTAATATCATTTGATTTGGTTTTTGCCCCCACCCAGGTCTCTGTGGCAATTTCAACAACATACAGAATGATGATTTTCGAACAATTAGTGGAGTGGTGGAGGATTCAGCATCAGCCTTTGGTAACTCATGGAAGACGAGGGGCAGTTGTCCAGATGTTGAAGACAACTTTGAGGACCCTTGTGCAAACAGTGTGGACAAAGGTACTTCTCCTCACTGATGTTCCAGAGCTAAATGCCTTTTGCATTTTTGTAGGAACATTACACAAGCAAGAGCTAATGCTATTAGAAGACAGATCACAATAGTTTCTTCTGGATATGGATTTAACCTAAAAAGGTTGTTCTTCCATGTTTTCAAGGTGATAGCGTTGTTTTTAAAATGGAACATACATACCAATACAGAAATATGTGGTGCTTTCAAATTTCTTTGATTGCTAATTAATTTGAGAACTCAAATTTGTATTAAAATAAAAGACTTTAAAGTTTACAAATATTTTGTTATTAACAGTCAGGTCCATATATTCAGCTTGTCACCAAAGAAATCAATGGAACAGCACCGTATTGTACTAGTTGAGGATTTGGCCGTATGATCCTGACCCTGTATTCCATAGAACCATGTTGTCCAACACACTAGCCACTAGTCACAGGTGGCTATTTGGCCAGTTGAGTGTGGCTACTTGGCTTGAACAACATGGCTATTTGGCTGGTTGAGTGTGGCTAGTTCGTGAACAAACTGTACCTTTGCACAGCCATATCTCCCAGTTTCACGTCAATAAGTGCCACCATGTGTTATGAAAGCTACAATCTGCTAGTGGCCACATGGCTAGTTAGTGGTGGTTAACGTGACTACTTGCTTGTGTAATTAGTAGTGAGCTGGAAAAAATAATTGATATAAATGCATGCTAACATCTGTTCTGCAAGCCTTAACCTTAGGAACAATGTTAGTAGCAAATGAAAATGTTCAGACATGTGTATATCTCTCTGTTCACTGTATCTGTTAATCTAATCACATTCAGCACCATAGTGTCTGATTGTCTATCCCTCCACTCTTGGCTGAATGCTGTAAAATATCTTCAAAATGAAAAACATTGTATAGACTTGCAAAGCCTTGGAAAAAGTTGGAGATATAAATTTTCACATGTTACTTTGGGCCATTTATCCATGTTTTCTCTTTCAGAAAAATTTGGGAAGCACTGGTGTGAACTTCTGTCTAATACAAGTGGTGTATTTTCTGCCTGTCATTCAGTTGTAGATCACTCTTCATATGTCAAGGTAAGGAATTGTTCTAGTGTAGTCCAAAATTTGACCTGTCATAAATGTATTCTGCTCAGGTAGGGAATACATGCTGTATTCTAGTTTCTGTTTAAAAATACATGTATTGATGCCAATGAGGAAGTAACAAAACTAGAGTTTAAGAATATTCTGCCGGGGTCTGTGGGTCTTTTCTACTACAGACCCAGTTGGGGTAACATAAACTAATTAACACACACTCTTCCTAGGGCTGCTGTGCTGGCACCATTGGGGGTGCGTCTACACTGAATTGTTATTTTGAGATAACTAGCGTTATTTCAAAATAAAAATGCGAGCGTCTACATAGCAATTCTATTATTTTGAAATAAATTCAAAATAATGGATGGCTCATTCCAACTTCTGTAAACCTCATTCGATACGGAATAACGCCTATTCAGAAATAGCTATTTTGAAATAAGGTGTGTGTAGATGCTCCACTGCAGCTATGTCGAAATAGCCCATCACCAGGGCCATTTTAAGTTATTCCTCCTCAGTGGCTCCTGGGGCTCTAAACTGAGATAACATCTACATTAGGGAAGCCTGCCTAATTTTGAGGATTCCCTGCAGTGTAGACAGGCTATTTCAAAATAAGCTATTTTGGAATAGCTATTCCGGAATAGCTTATTTCAAAATAGTTGTACAGTGTAGATGTACAGTATCCTGCATTGCATGAGCAATGAAATTAATACAAATAACATAGTTTTTCCAAGCTATCTGAGAAGCATAGGGGAATTGCTGTAAAAATACATCAACCTTATTTGTCAGCCTTGCTACTTTGGATAATATTTGTAGAAGATGATACTTTATTGTCAAGCTTTCAAGATGTAATACTAAATTAAAGAAAAATTAAAAAAATGAATTAAAGGGGGAGTCTTTAAATGGTCAAAACAACAAGAAATCCTGTGATACCTTAAAAATGGTGCCATTTTGACCTTGATAGCATTTTTTAAACCAAAATCCAAATTAAAATACTTTTAGTTAAAATGTAAAATTTCTACTACATTATTTTTGTTTCCATTATTCCCTTTTCTTCACAAAACCAAAAACATTTCAACCAAATGAAACTTTTGCAAGAATTTTTATTCTGAGGAAAGATGCATTTTTCCCCAAAAAAATTTCCAATGAAAAAAATGTTGATGAGCTCTGATACTTGGCCACATTGTAGTCAATGCCTCTGCTCAGATGTTTAAATAAAGCATAGGCCTTGGTGTTTTGCTGGACCGGGGACCTTAGTAGCCAGTAAGGCACCTACACTAAATAGTTTGATATCTTGCCACAAATGGTGCCAGCTCCTTTTCACTGTGAAATGGTACGATCTTTAGGTCTCAGTAAAAGAAACTGAATAAAGTAAGCTAAGATATGAGCTCTCTGTGCACTTTGTTTTTCCTAGAAGATAATCTAACCTATTATTGAAAGAATATATTCAGCATCAGCATCTTTTATATCCTACTTGTGATGAAGAGACATCAGTCCCTCCCTTTAAAATTGCCACAGACTGTCCTTAGCTGATTCTGCACCTCTGTAATTATGAAATGGAAAACTGGCTTGGTGTGAAAATGGTCAGGTTTATTCTGACGGTAAATAAGTTTCTGAAAAAAATATTATCCAGAGGTTGGGGTTTTTTTTTTTTAAATACAAGTCATTTAGAAATCACCTGGGATTTTACCTTTGACTTGTTCAATGTGCCTTTGGGCCTACGTTCTGGAATTAGGGTGCTGCAGCTCCCCCTGGCCTGTAGTGGTTTCCATTATATGCAATGTTTATCATATGGTTCAATGGTTCTCAGCTCCCCTTCTCCATACACATTGTTCATTACTTCTGCCTTTGGGTCCCTTTAAAAATGGGCTATAAGTTACCCTTCTAATGTTCCAAATGATTAATCTAACTGAAAACTCATGTGCCAGCTATTATTTAAAATAGGGTGCAATAAATCAACACCATGAATGAATCCTGTTGTGGATAGTTTTGCTGCTCCTGTTGATTTCAATGAGCATTACATCGCTGACCCTGTCCTCCTTTAGGGTATGTCTACATTGCAGAGTTTTTTCAAAAAAACTCCAGTTCCGTCCATATTGCAATTGTGTTTGTTCGAAAGAAAATTGAAAGAACAGAGAAGTTTTCCCGACATTGGTAAACCTCTTTCTACAAGGAGGAAGCCTTTTTCCGAAAGAGCTTTTTTGGAAAAAGGCGTGTGTGGACGGGGAAGAGGGAGTTCTTTTGAAAGGAAACAAAAGAGGAAAAAGCACAGGTGTCCTGGTTGCCACTCTGTCCACAGTAATCACAGCTTAAATGCAATTGTTCATTCATTTCGAAAAAGCATATCGCCTTTGATGCGCTTTCACTGCGTAGACACTCATTTCAGAAGTTTTTTTGGAAGATCTCTTCCAGAAAAGCTTATTCTGAAAGAAGCCTGCAGTCTAGACATAGCCTCTATTTATTTCAAATGGGAGAACTTTTCCCATTACTGTCATCTGAGAAGGTGTGGGCACTGTGCGAGCATATTGCCTTCTATTAGTTTGCAACTTAGAAAAATTATAAGGGTATTTCTGTAGGTGAAAGCTAACAGAGCTCTTCCTTTGGCTCAGATGTTAGAGGTCATCTTTATTCCCCCATCTAGTGTGAAGGATCAGGGTTTCAGTTTCAAATGTGTGGTATTATGAGGAGGCAATAAACGAGGTACCTTTAAAGTTGCAAACATAATTGCACAATAAAGTTGCATTTATTCCCTTTGTACTCCAAAAAAAAGCAGCTTTCTTTGGCTTTCAAATATTGAGTGTTAAGTCTCACTGGCAACAAACTTTTGAGCATGTAAACATTTAAAACGGCTCTGTTGTTTCTGCGGCTCAAGCTCTCATCATACTATCAGTTTCCTTGTGTGTTGCCTAGAACTGTGTTTATGACACTTGCAATGCTGAGAAGAGTGAAGAGGCCCTGTGCAGTGTGCTATCCTCATACTTCAGAGATTGTGCTGCAAGAGGAGTACACTTGCAAGGTTGGAGGCCTGGCATCTGTGGTAAGTGTACTAACATGGTAACGTGCATAGGAGAACACATTTTGGAGATTTTCTGCTGTTGAAACTATTATGTTTTGTGCTCATGTGTCAAAGTGACAGGTATCTAGGGGTATGTCTACACATCAAGGTTATTTCAAAGTACCAGCATCTACACAAGCCAACCGCTATTTCAAAATTAAATCAAAATAGCGGAGGGCTTATTTTGAAATTGGTAAACCTCATTCCACGAGGAATAATGCCAATTGTGAAATTGCTATTTCAAAATAAGTGCAGTATAGACACTTATATTGAAATAGGGGGCCTCTAGCCCTTCCCTGGGTGCCCTGGTGGCCACTCTACCCTCAACCATGAACACTCCTCTCCCCCACCCCTCCCCAGAGCCCTTAAAGGGATAGACTCTGGCCACAGTGCCTGTGCCAGCTACAAGCCTCCCAGACCAGAGCCAGCAGTCACTGCCCCTGACCCAGTGGCCTCAAAACATGAGCCAGCAAGCAACTGGCACCCAGCCCTCCACCGCTCCCAGGAGCAGTCTGCCAGCTCCCAGGAGCCTTCCTGGTCTAGGGCGTGTGCCTTCCTGGTCTAGGGCGGAGATCATGGACCTTATTCAGGTTTGGGGAGGATGCTCCCAATGTCCGTGATCTCCACACTAGATGGGGGAACGTGGTCGTCTATGGCAGGATAGTTGCCAGTCCGGCCACCAAAGGCCACATGTGAACCCAGGAGCAGGTTTGCATGACAATCAAGTTGGTCCAGCAAGACCCCCAACCCTGAACCCTGAGCTTCCCCTCCCGCTTCTTCCCCTTGCTTCCCCCTTCCAGCTCCTTCGTCCCAGGTTTCCCCCTCCCCTCTCCCACCCTCTCTTTTCCCCTCTCCTGCCTTCTTTCCCCAGTCTCACCAGAGTTTCATTTTCCTGCAGTTTTGTTAAATAAAGAAAGTTTGTGTTCATGAAAATACATATATTTTATCTGACATCAGGAAGGGAGTCAGGGAGGGGTAAGTGGAAGGATGTGAGGGAGGAATGAGGCACAAGCCCCAAGTGGGGCAGACCAGGGAGGCTCTTAGTGCTCCTCAAGGTGGAAGCTCTCCCGCAGAGCCTCCTGGATACTGACAGCCCCCAATGAACCTTCCTGATGGCAGCCTGCAGAAAGTGCAGCCAGGCTCACAGCAACGAGTCCAAGGAGGTTTAACGGTATTTTGAATTAGGAGCTTTAATTCAAACTACCTGGTCTGTGCTGTGTGTAGCCGTGGACAGGTAGTTCGAACTACGGGGCATTTAAAAATGACGGCACCCGGGAACGTGCAAATGAAGCCCGGGATATTTAAATGCATGTTGGAATGCCTACATTAGCCACCCTACTTCGAACTAGGGTGGCAGTGTAGACATACCCTTAGAAACTAACAAAAAAAATGTATATGGTATCATGAGTTTTCGTGGGCACAACCCACTTCATCAGATGAATGGAGTTAAGGGGTCCAGGGTACAAATAAATAGCCTGTTTGCAAAGTATCTGGCTATTTAATAATAAATAGCTGCTTATTAACAACTGGCAACTGTTTCGGAAGATCTCTCACCTTTCCTATGCATGATTTCTTGATTGGAAACCTATCTGAATATAAAGCAATGAGATAATGGTATCTATGCAATTTAGATTGCCCTTGGATCTACTACAGTTTGTCTGTCTATTGGTTAATTACATGCCTTTGAGGCTACTTGAATTTTCCAGATGAATTAAACAATGTAATTAGAGTAGCACCTTATAGAAAGAATTTAAAGTTACATTACAAGCAATTTAACAAAATGTGGTAGGGTAATTCAAAAGGCACACTGTGTATTTGATAGCTGATTAGCTTAGAAACATACAGCTGTATGTATTAGAGTGTCTGTCTATTGAAAGCTTTCCTGACAGGTGAAGAATTGAAGAACGAGATGCACTTTAGAGTGTGCCAAAAGTTAGGAGCTACATTATGAATAGCAGGAGAGGGCTGTAGCACTGGTTTAAGAAACAAAAGACTGTTCACTCATGCTGAAATGGGTAATATCAGCTTCACACAATACCCCAAATTACCCTCACACTCTGGGAAAAATACTAATTGTTCAACCACCACAATACGTCTTTGCCTTCAGACTTATTTGAAGAAGAATAAGTACCGTCTGGGAACATACCTGTTCTAAGAAGAGAATCGGTTGTGCAGCATTATTCATGAGAGAATGAGTAGATAGGCCAGATTGTGCTCCATTTCACCTGGGTTTCACACCGGGTTGATTCCCAAGGCTCTTTCAGATGCCGCAGAGATATTAAAAAAGTACAGGGGTGAAACCAGATACAAGGCAGCTCAAATCTCAAAGGTTACATACCTTTAACAGTGAATAGTACAATCAAGCATCCTCTTCTCATAAAACCCCATAGTCCCACTCAGTAAAGTTCTAATCCCTAAATTGTTCAACAAAGGCACAATGATGAAGCAACATTTGCCCCTCTGATGACCCCAAAATTTGTCCCAGCCCTCCATCTAATTTAGACCTGCACTGCCCAACACCACCAAGTCTCATGCCCTTTCAGAGGCACTTGAACTGACCTATAGCCACAAAGGACACAGCATTGCCCCTCCATTTTGTCTCTTCCCCATAATCTGGCACCAGCTAAAATGGCAGGAGCTACCTGCCTCTGAGTGTAACCAAGGTTATTTTACCACATACCTGCAGCAGAGTGGAGGAAGATGCCACTCCTCCAGAGCCTGTGAAGTTTTCTCAGCCTTCCACTTGCTGAGAGGGATAACTGAACCATGTTAGACTTGATACCTTGCCTTTCAGTCCAGGCAGAGAAGCCCAATGACTTTGTTTCCCTTTTTCTCCAGGAATGCTCCAAGAGTCATTCCATTTTTTCATTCTTCTCCAGAGAACTTCTAGAAACTACACACAGTTTCTTTGGCAGCAGCATGTCAACAGCAAAATACTCTGGCAGCTGCCCACACTTAGAATAATAGTGGTTTATTTGTTTTTTCAAATTACTCTTAACTGGAGTCTCATTAAATCTTTGGTTGATCTTATTCTACTAAATTTATGTATCATTGAGAGCCAGGGACTGTATGTAATTTCATGGGAGAGGATGACCACAGGAGCGAATAACAGTGGATGGGGAGGGGAGTACAGGGAGGAGGTAATTAGGCAAATACTCTTGGATTGTAACACCTCCAAAGAGCTGCCACCAGCTGCAGAGGCTTGCATATTCTCGTTCAAACTGGACTCGTTAGCTACCAACAGACAAAGAAAGGACTTTTCGATAAATAGGGAGAGTTTAAAATGACCCAAGGCCTGCTTTTTGATCCAGCAAACAGACAGGACCTTTTCTCCAAGGGAGGCCCCAATCCTTCCTGGGAAAGACTGGAAGGACCTGACCTATTCACAAAGATTCTTGTTCTAAGCAAAAAGGAGTTATGAACTTGTAATCACAGAGATGTCTTGCTGTGGATTTTGAAAAACTGACCCCCTACCAGAGCCCTCGTTGGGGTTGATCAGGGGAGGGTGATCTCTCATAAGCATCATTAGCACGGGTATAGGTTCTTTAATTATTTTTAATATGTTTTCTATAATTCTCTTTGGGTGCGTCTAGACTGGCAAGATTTTGTGCAAAAGCAGCCACTTTTGCGCAAAAACTTGCCAGCTGTCTACACTGGCCGCTTGAATTTGCGCAAGAGCACTGACTTTGTAATGTACAAAAACAGTGCTTCTTGCGCAAATACTTTCACGCTCCCGCTCGGAAAAAAGCCCTCCTGCGCAAGAATACTTGCTCAAGAGGGCCAGTGTAGACAGGGAAGAATTGTTTTGCGCAAAAAAGCCCCGATGGCTAAAATGGCAATCGGGGCTTTCTTGCGCAAAATCGCAAAATCTAGACTGGCCATGGATGCTTTTGTGCAAAAGTACTTTTTGCGCAAAAGCATCTGTGCCAATCTAGATGCTCTTTTGCGGAAATACTTTTAACGGAAAAACTTTTCCGTTAAAAGTATTTCCGCAAAATCATGGCAGTCTAGACGTAGCCTTTAATTATAAATGTTCTTGTTAAGAAAGAGGAGTGTGGCAACTTAACAGTGGGCAATTATGATGTTTCTAATATCTAGAAAGAAAGCTAAGCAGGTCTGCTTAGCCAGTCTGACCTGCTGAGGAATAACACAGGGAATTTGCAGCGTGGAAAAACCCTGCCCAGGAGGGATGATGGCGAAGGGGTCTGGATTCTAGAATGCATGCTGTTGCTGCACCGTAGAGGGGGAAAAGAGGTGCAGGTGCTCTAAACTGTGACACTCAGTAGTAATGCAAATCACAGTTTTATTTTTAAACACAAGTACGTGTCCAAAGTATGAAATGTTTGGGCCATGACATGTAGCCATTTGAGATGACAGTTCTATTCAAACATCTAATTTATCTCCTGCCTGTGGAGGATTTTGTCTTATTATATATTTCAGTGTTTTGAATTAATTAATTCTAAATATCTTCATTAAGGAGGGTTCCAACACTTTCCTTTGGAGAAGAGCTCTCATTGTTAGAGGGAACAGTATATATGTCTACATCAGGAGCAGGGTGATAATTCAACCCTGCAGATCACAGACCTATTTGGGTCCTTGTTTTATTTGTCTTGCAAAGATGTCTCCAAGGACTGTCCCGAAACGATGGTATTCAGCTACGATGTGAAGTTCTGTAATCATTCCTGCCGCTCTCTGAGTGAGCCTGATCTGCTGTGTAATATCCCAAGCAGTCCCGTAGAGGGCTGTGGTTGCCCCAAGGAGACCTACCTGCATGATGATAAATGTGCGTCTCCAGAAGACTGTCCATGTTACTATAAGGACAAGCTGATTCAAGCTGGGAAATCATTCCAAGAGGGCAAACTCATGTGGTAAGTGGTTTCACATACTGGAGTCCTTATGAGGAACAAATTCATATCCTACCAAGGAATGATGACATTTTCTATTTGACAATACTAGGTCAGGTCCCACCAGTCCAACTGTTCTAATAGTGAACAAGGGATTGCTATAACAATGGGAAGTGAGAGCCATGGGGAGATGCTGCAGTGGGCATCGGTGAAGTTCATTGAAAGGGAAAAGAAATTGAAAATTCTTCAGAAGTCAGAAGGCAATAAGTCAAAGGTCTGGCAGAGTAGAAATGGCATTAACAGGGACTTAGGGGGTGGGCAGTGGCAAGTGGGGAAGGAATAATGAACAATAGAAAATGAAAGGAGAATATTGGGTGGAAGCAAATGTGAGATGCAATGGCAGATTTATGAATGTTCTGGCTTCAAGAATCCTACTCCTCAGGGCTGTCCTTAAGATTTATGGGTCCTACACAACACTGTTAAACTGGTTCCCCTATGACCAATGGCAGCCAGCATGGGGCGGGGGGGGGGGGAATGATTTTTTAGAGATGTGATTTTATAATCTTCAGCAACACAGTCATGAAATATTTTAAACTAAGGGCCTGTAGACTAAGGGCTTATCTATATTTACAGATGGATGTTCTGGAGATAAATCTTCAAGGATTCTGTTTAGTGGGTTTAGTAAGGGCTCACTAAATTGACCATTGATGGCGCCCCCATTGACCCTGGTGCTCCATGTGGTGTTGTGAAGTAAGGGAACTTGATGGGAGAGGTTCTTTCCTGTCAACCTCCCATTGTGGGGACACCACAGAAATTTGGTGTAAGGTATGTCAACTCCAGCTATGCTATTTATTACAGAGCAGGAGCTGCGTATTTTAAGTTGACTTTCTCCTGAAGTGTAGACTTGGCATCACACAGAAAGTTCAGAAACTGACAGGGGTGTTGGTGGGTGGTAAATGCCTATTAAATTGATTAATTACCAATTGAATGGCTCTATTACAGGTTCAATGTTCTGCTAATAAATCTGGCAAGCTTTTTCACTTTTAAGTTAACTAGATCCTCTCTGGAGGAAGCAGAGCAACAAAACAGGGATAGGAAGAGGCTGGTGGGTGGGCCTTAAGGCCAGTTCTAGACTAAAGGAGAAGGTCAAATTAAGATACCCAGCTCCATCTACATTAATTATATAACTAGAGTTGATGTACCTTAATTCAAGTTTCCATGCCATCCCCACTCAGTGGCCAGCCTCTGAGTTCAATTTAGTGAGTCTTTAGTAGACCCACTAAAACAAACTCTGGAAGATCAATTGCAGCAGTATCGATTTTCTCCATAGTGAAGACATGGCCTAAAGCAAGTGGAGCCCCAGCTTTTCAGGTTCTCTATTCAACTGCATATTCTGTATATGGATAAGGACAGCCCTGCTACTCCTGCAGTATTAGGGCCATTTGAAATTTCATTTTTTCCCCCAAATGTTACTTTGATGACAAAATGTTTTTTTCCAATATTACAATTTTGTGAAAAAAACTTATTTTCACAGAAGATGTCTTCTTTTTATATGAAAAATAGAAAGGAGATCAGAACATACTTACCTTTTCAAAAGCAGAATACTGTGGAGCCAAAAATGGTCTTCAGAACAAAAAATTTCAGCACTGAATAATCAAGAAGTTGACAAAAACTAAAATGATAAAAGGATTTAAATTTTCCATGAAAAAAGCTGCATTTTTCAAATAGCTCAATATCTTAACCAAAATCACAGAGAATCATCAAATTATAATAAAGTACACTTATATACTCAATTTTCACTGGAGGATCTCAAAGTATTTAATAAATACTACTTAATTTAGCATCCTAGGACCTCCCTTAAGTAGGTGAGTACCACGAAGAAACAGATGCAGAACGCCTGAGGTGAACTGTTGCCAATGAGAGAACAGAACCTAAGAATTGTTTGCCCTTCTTCTCTCTAAGGGTACGTTTAGAAAACAGGGCTGTTTTGGGATATTGGAAGAATCCTGAAATAGCTACCTTGTGTCTTTTAAATGTGCCTGTTATCTTGAAATATTTTTCAAAATAACGAGCATGCTATTTTTGCGTTCCTGTAATTCTTGTTCCACAAGGATTAAGAGATGTCTCGAAATAGTGCATAATTTTGAAATTTGGCACTGTGTCGATGTGCCAAATTTCAAAATATGCTATTTCGAAATACAATTGAAATAAGAAATTTTGAGTTTAGGGTGCTATATAGATGCACCCTACGGTGATAATTCCATTTGGTATGTGAGTGATTATATTAACCACTCACGATACTGTGACTGATGCTTTTGGTTACTATTTGTGTTCTCATATGAATATGAAAAGAGCTGATACAGTTCTCATTTTATTGAATATCTTTAGCAAATGTATTCGAGGAAGATTAGACTGCATTGGAGAAACTGTGATAATGAAAGGTGAGACTTTACTAAATTCTACCATTGAGTTATAATTTGGAATTTCACATGGTTTTCAGTGTATTTGTCAGTTTCTTTGATAGATAGATGTTTTGTATTAATGGCTTGTTTCTCCTTGAAATGTGTTAATTAAAGACAAGAGTATTAGCCTGTTGATCACAATTTTCTTTATAAAAATGTCACACTTGCTGAAATCTTCAAAAATAGATATCCCTCCCAAAGTTCGTGAGTTGAGAAAAGAGTAATTCTCACTTGTAGATGCTTCAGGTCCTCTTAATAACTAGTCCTTCAAAGATGGAAAGATGGCTCATTAGGACTCTCTGTCCTTTTGCACATATCATCTCAAATGTACACACATCTAGGATCTGCCATATGACTAATACATCTGTTGTTTCTTTTCCAAAAAAAAGCATTAATTCCAATGTTACAAACAATTTCTCTCTCTGGCAGGGTAGAAACTGAAGAATGTGTACAAATACATATATACGAATGAGTTCTCTCACAAGCAATTCAGTAACATTACATTGATCTGATAGACACAGAAAAAAGGGCTTTTAATCAGTGATTGCTTGGTTGCAGATCTCTCAGAAGACTTCTCAGTGACAAACTTGGGTTTTTTTATCTTAAAGATGTGGAAACATTTTTTTTAATTCAGCGATGTCTATCAGTGTGAAGTGTTGGCTCTGCTTTCAAAGGCTCTTTAGTCATCTCAATACACATTTCTGCTTCTTCCCTTGATCCCTAATAGGCTGACAATAAATCAATCATACAAGTTACAAGTGATACCAGTAACTTCATACTGGCTCTGCTCTTTACAGAGGTGGTTCTTTGGTTTAAGCCAGCACCTGACTCAAAGGACTTTTGTGACTATGATTGCATCCTCTGTCCTTCAGTCCTGCTTCTGGAGAGAAGCTAAAGTCAATGGAAATTGACAGATGTAAAAGAATGGGTGACCCAAAATGCCCTGCCCCCCTGAGTCTATTCACACCATAATGTGAGAGAAAATTTCATTGGCTCAAGAGGAAGGGAATGTGGCTGTTGCTCGGAGAATGCTCCTTTCTCAGCCTGACAGCTGTGGCAGTGTCATCTCTCCAGAGGCTGTGTCTAGCCTGCACCTCTCTGCCAACAGAGGGATGCAAAGCAAGCACTTCGGAACTGCAAATGAACCCAGGATTTAAATATCCTGGGCTTCATTTGCATACTCAAGTTCTGACACAGTGCAGATCAGGCTCAAAGTGAAAGTGTCAAAAGTGAAAGTAAAGTGTAGCCGCAGCACTTCCGACAGTGGGGAGCTTTTTTGGCAGATCCTGTACTCCTCATTTTTGTGGAATTTTAATTTTACATTTTTTAGAAAAATATTTGCTCTTGATAAAGTTCCATCAATGGCCCCCCCCCCCCCCTCCAAAATGTCTGTCAGCTTCACTTTATGAATTCAGTCAACAGCTCAAAATTATATAAAAGATTTTCCTCCAGTCTTAGCTGACATGTTTAGTCATGTCTTTTAGGAACTGTCAAGGTTCGGACAGATTGTTTGATGGCATGCACTCCAATTTCACCAACTGATATTTCTGTAATGGCTTTTCTCTCTTGTAGACTGTCCCGCTCCCATGTATTACTTTGACTGCAGCTCTGCTGGCCTAGGAGCAATTGGATCTGAGTGTCAGAAAAGTTGTAAGACACAGGACATGCAGTGTGTAAGGGGTTATGTTCATATCAATAGGAACTTGCAAGACTTCTTTAGTTTTTTGCATGCATGATTATGCTTTACAAATGCTAACATTGCGCTGCTCAGAAACCACCGTTTTCACTGATAAAAGTAAAGAAGCTACAGTTACCATGCTTGTTATCATGCTTGTAGTTGTTCATGTTAATAGATATGCAGCAATCTGGTTTGATGATTTTTTTAAAATCTTATTTCCCACTTGTAAGAATAGATTAATGCATAGAAAACCATAGATCTGTGAAACAGTTGCAAGGCTGTGTCTACATTGGCCCCTATTCCGTAATAGGGATGCAAATGTAGCACTTTGGAATAGGCAAATCCGCGGGGGATTTGAATATCCCCCGCGGCATTTGCATTAACATGGCTGCCGCTTTTTTCCGGCTTGTAGATGAGCCAGAGAAAAGCGCCAGTCTGGACGCGATCCTCCGGAAAATAAGCCCTTTTCCTGAGGATCTCTTATTCCTACTTGAAAGTACTTTCAAGTTGTAGAAAGTACTTTCAAGTAGGAATAAGAGATCCTCAGGAAAAGGGCTTATTTTCCGGAGGATCGCGTCCAGACTGGCGCTTTTCTCTGGCTCATCTACAAGCCGGAAAAAAGCGGCAGCCATGTTAATGCAAATGCCGCGGGGGATATTCAAATCCCCCGCGGATTTGCCTATTCCAAAGTGCTACATTTGCATCCCTATTACGGAATAGGGGCTAATGTAGACACAGCCTTGGGTTCCAACTGAATATCATGGACCTGTTTCTTAGAATGATCCCTGCTTGGCTTCTCATTTGGCAACTGCAATTTAGCACCCAGCGCTAATTGTCTCAGTGTTTTCTTTCTACTTCCTGGATGATTAAGGCATAACCTTATATTGTATTTGTATGTTCACAGTATGTCACAGAATGTATTTCTGGCTGCATGTGCCCCAATGGGCTCGTGTCTGATGGTAAAGGGGGCTGCATTTCTGAGAACCAGTGCCCATGTGTCCATGGAGGAAATTTCTATAATCCTGGGGAAAATATCACAGTCCACTGTAACACATGGTATGATGTTCTGCAAAGTCTTATAATTGCTTCTTCATTAGGTTAATAACCAGTACAATGCAGGGCAGTTCATGTGCAGAAACAGGATGCATTTTGTGATCTCTGCAGGATCATCTTATGCATTAGGAAAGCTTCACTTCAGTACCCCACACTTCCACTGGAAATGAAAGGGGAAAGCTGTTACTCTTGCCTCTCTGCACTATATTGCACCAATTCATGTGGGTACACGGGTACAACTGGTATAATCTCCCCCTTACATTACTTTGGACCTCTTCTGTACCAACTTTTTTGGAAGCATTACACATGAAAATCCCTGCCTGGTTCAGAGAAAGACTGCAGCTATTATTACACAGGTATATGGTGTGAGACAGCACAAAGGGCTTAATTTCATATTATATGGTGGCTACAATCCTTACTGACCTCTCCACACAGGGCTCAGCCACTTAAAAAAATAAAGAAGTAGTTAGGAAAGTGGACTGGACTGAAGAACTCAAGGATCGGAATGTGGAATTGCTTTAAGTCAAGTTGTAGAAACAATCTGATGCTTGCATCCTAAGCAAAGGCGGGGTGGGGAGGAATCATAGGGAAAAGTGGAAGACCAAGTGGGGTGAGCAAGCAGCTCAAACAGAGAAAGCAGGACCCCTGCAAAGAATGGAAGGTGGGCTAGATCAGCAAGGAAAGATACTTCTTGAAGGTCAGAAAGCATAGTGGAAAAAGTGACAAATTCCAAAAGCCAGTGAGAGCTAGACTTTGCATAAAGAGATTAAAACTGGGATTACAAGGTTCTATCGCCATACAAATAAAAAACAGCCAGGAAAGAGGTTGGGCCACTAAACATGGAAGCGGGAGGGTATTAAAAATAATCTAGACATGGCCCAATACCTAAACAAATATTTTACATCAGATTTTAATAAGGCTAGTGAGGATCTTAGGGGCAGTGGCAGGGGAACTAGTGGAAATGTGAATATAGAAGTAGAAATGAGCACATCTGAGATGGAAGTTAAACACAGAGGCTGTGTCTATATTGGCACCCCTTTCCGGAAAAGGGATGCTAATGTAGACTTCGGAATTGCAAATTCCGCGGGGGATTTAAATATCCCCCGCGGCATTTGCATTAACATGGCTGCCGCTTTTTTCCGGCTTGGGAATAAGCCGGAGAAAAGCGCCAGTCTAGATGTGATTCTCCGGAAAATAAGCCTACAAGTTGGAATAAGAGATCCTCTGGAAAAGGGCTTATTTTCCGGAGAATCACGTCTAGACTGGAGCTTTTCTCCGGCTTATCCCCAAGCCGGAAAAAAGCGGCAGCCATGTTAATGCAAATGCCGCGGGGGATATTTAAATCCCCCGCGGAATTTGCAATTCCGAAGTCTACATTAGCATCCCTTTTCCGGAAAGGGGTGCCAATGCAGACACAGCCAAACAGTTTAATGGAATCAAATTGAGGAAAGGGGAACAGATCATTTCCACCCAAGAACATTACAGGAACTGACTCATGAAATTGCAAGCCCAATAATAATGACTTATGATGAATTTATAAATTTGGGGGTCACTTTATGACAGTAGAATTGCCAGTATAGGGCCTATTTTATGAAAGAAAAAAAAAAGATCTGGGAAACTACAGGCCTGTTATTTGACCTCAATTGTATGCAAGGTTTTGGAACAAAGTTTGAAAGAGAAAGTAGCTAAGGGTGTGTCTAGACTACATGGCTCCATCAATGGAGCCATGTAGATGAGTTTACTCAGAAAAGGGAAATGAAGCGGCGATTTAAATAGTTGCCACTTCATTTACATGATGCCACACTGCACCTATCAGCTGATTGTCGGCACAGCGCGGCAGTCTAGATGGAGATCTGCCGACCCCAGAACCCTTTGTTGGAAGATCCTGTAAGCCACAAGGATCTGTCGATGAAGGGTTCTGGGATAGGCAGATCCCCGTCTACACTGCCGTGCTGTGCCTACAAACAGCTGATCTGCACAGTGCGGCAGCCATTTTGATGTAAATGAAGCAGCAATTATTTAAATTGCCACTTCATTTCCCTTTGCTGAGTAAACTCAACTACATGGCTCTGTCAACAGAGCCATGTAGTCTAGACACACCCTAAGGGAATAGAGGTAAATGGTAATGGCATAAAAATAACTTAGTTTTACAAAAGGTTGATCATTCCAGACAGTCCCGATCTCCTTTGAGAAGATAACTGATTTTTTAGGCAAAGGAAATGCAGTAAACCGAATCGACCTGAATGCCAGCAAGACATTTGATTCAATTCCACATGGAGAAGATGGGGATTAAAATGAGAATCGAATGGTAGATAAGAAGCTGAGTAAAGGGGATACTTACAGTGGGTCACACTGAAAGGTGAACTTATGGGCTAGCGGGAAGTTACTAATTGAGTAATTCCTCAGGGATCAATCTTGGGACCTGTCTTATATAGCACTTTTATGAATGACTTTCATCCAAAAAAGAGTGTGTTAATCAAATTGAGGATGACACAAAGTTGGGAGGTAGTGCCAATGTAGAAGATTCTGGGATATCATACAATAGGAACTGGAGTACCTTGAAATCTGGAGTAATAGAAATGGGATAAAATGTATTAGTGCAAAGTGCAAGGTCATGCACTTAAGGGCTAACAATAACGATTTTTGCTGTAAGCTGGGGATTTTTCAATTGGAAGCAACAGAGGAGGAGAGAGACCTGAGTGTATTGATTGACCACAGGCTGATTATGACCCAGCAGTGTGAAGTGGCCCTGAAAAAGGCTAATGTAGTCCTAGGCACCATCAAGGGAGGTATTTCCAGGACATACAGGGAAGTACGGCTAACTGATCACCATATAAGGGATCAGGAAGGAATTTTCTCCTGAGTCAGATTGGCAAAGACCCTGGGGGTTTCTGCCTTCTTCTGAAACATGGAGCGTGGGTTACTTTCAGGTTTAAACTAGTGTAAGTGGTGGATTCTTTGTAACTTGGAGGGTTTAAACCATGATTTGAGGATTTCAATGACTCAGCCAGAGGTTAGGGGTCTAGTACAGCAATGCGCAGGAGGTCAGACTAGATGATCATGAGCATCCCTGCTGGCCTAAAAGTTTATGAGTATCTAATTGCTTCCTAGTGTTCACCTGCACACATGGAATGCTCTCTGCTGGAGTCCATGTGTGCTGTAGGCATCTCAAAATGAGTGGGGACTAGGCTTCCCCCTCCGCAGCCATGGCAGAGTTGATTGGCCATGGAGGGAGATCACACATACCTTGTTGAGGGTTTTGTGGCTTCACTGATATCCCAGGGCTTTCAGCACTGTTATCCATTCAGTCCCCATAACTGTTGGGCACAGCTGAGACTTACACAAGGAATGAAATTCCAGCAGAGTTTGAGGACATTTCCCCAAATCCTGCAATACAGATCACTGTCTCCTGTACATGCAGTTCTCAGGCAATAGCTGAATTCTGCCAGCTGCTGCTATAGTTTATGCAGTGCCTGCAGTTTATGGCTGAGCACCTTGGTCTGACCTCTTTGAAGGACCACCGCCACAAGGAGGGGTGTGTCAGAGAGGTCGTGTAGATCTGTCAGGAAGAGTAAATGTTTGGCTGTCTAGGAGACACTGACATAGCCATCTCCTGAAAAGCATCTTGAGTGAGACACAAAGACGAAGGGAGAGCCAAAAGCCATAAGACTATTTGGCCTGGGGGCAGTTGTTGACCATTTTGTATGAACATTAAGTTTTAATGTAAGTGGTCAGACCACCCTTATACATTATATTAGTCACACCTAGATACCCTGCCTTGAAGAACTCACTGACTAACAATTCTGCTGTTGGTCAACCGGGTCTGAATCTGGTTTAATTCAGGCAAGTGAACAGAATTTAAAAGAGATACACAGCCATGTAACTAAGTGCTGTCTTTGTCCCCAACCTGTTTCGTTGGTATTGAAAAGGCTTTCTCCAGAGTGAGCTCCTTCCCGAATCACCCACTCGCCCGCCGTAAACAACCCAAAGAATAAAAATGTAAAAGTTAGATGTGTGTCTAAATAACATGATCCAAAGATTTTGAACCCAGGCCTGCAAGGTTCATAAGAGCAGACACATTCCAATCTTTCTATTAGCAGCAACTTGACTCCTGGCATCTGATTTGTGGTTCAGATCTCCATTTTGTCTTGTACATCTGACCCCCTGCTATCCTGATCCAGCTGATATTTTACTCCTATCTTGTGAGTGGACTCTGGCTCTAACTATTAGATCTGGCTACCTGCAGCTCAGCTTTGACAGTCAATATTAAACATTCCTGGTGGTTTTGCAATTGTTAAGCCAAGGCCTCAAAGCAGCTTACAGTTCAGCGCTGCCAGTCTGAAAGGCCATTGTGGTCTGCGACCCATTAGCATGGATTCATTTAACATTTTCAGTAATTCTGTACCTACCCAGAGGTACGTAAAACTGTCTCTGTGGTAAAGATTGTAACCTGTTGCCTTCCACTTCCTAGCACGTGTAACAACCGACAGTGGAACTGTACAGAGAACCCGTGCCAGGGAACATGCACTGTGTATGGAAATGGACATTACTTGAGCTTCGATGGAGAAAATTTTGACTTTATGGGAGACTGCGATTATATTCTAGCGCAGGTAACAAAGCGCTAGGACCTGTCTGAGAACTTCAACATGAGCAGATATAGGCCAATGCTGAGCTCTTAAAAACCCCACTTGTAACTTTTTCTGAACAACCACAGAAAAAGTCAAGAAATATGGCATCAAATATCAGCAATGCAGCTCATTTACAACTCCCTCCTGGACATTTCTAAGATGTGCACAACTCAGATAACAAGTTCTGATGTGCTTTTCTTTATTTGTGTAAGGACTTTTGCCCCAGTAACCCCAATGATGGCACCTTCCGGATTGTAACTCAAAACAATGCATGTGGAAAATCACTGTCCATCTGTTCCTTGAAGATCACAGTGATTTTGGAGGTGAGTCCAGCCTTAACTCTGGGTATTGTGGCAGTGGCTGATGGAATGGGAAATCTGTCTTAATTTTGTGAGCAATGAATTTACTATACCATAAGACTGTGAGACAACTAATATTAGAGACTCTCCAAATGAAACCATATAGCCAAAAGCAGTGGTAGGTGAGGATGGGAAGGGATGGGCCTGTGGAGTAGGTCAGAAGAGGAAGAAGTGGGCATTTAAGTTGTGGAAAGGAGGGAAGCAGGAAAGACAGCAACAAATGAGTGTGTGAAAGGAGTGTGGGACACTTGGGATACATCTATGCAGTTGCACATACCTCAAAATAAGTTACACAATTTGAGCTACACAAATTGTGTAGCTTATTTCTAAATAGTTTATTTTGAAATTTGGCACAGTCTACCCGGCACTTATTTCAAAATAAATCGCTATTTTACTAAGTTCCTTAATCCTCGTACAATGAAATTTACAGGAAATCTGAGAATGAAGCCCATGGTTTCAAATTTATTTCAAAATAATGGGCTTCTTGTGAAGACAGCGCATAATGTTATTTTGAAATAATGGATGTTATTCCAAACTAACTCTGCTGTGTAGACATACCTTTCGGGAACAAGAAGAGACAAGTATGCATAATAAGAGTTTCAGCACACGTGAGTGTCTTGTGTTTCAGGGAGCTGCTAAGACAGAAAGATGGCAGCTGAATTTCCAGAGGAAGTGGATTTCTGTGACCAAGAAAAGTTTTTTTTTTAAGAGAGTGACCCTACAAGATTCTGTGGCCAAGGAGCATGGGACAAAAATTCTGCCCTATTGATTTCAGTATTGGTGCCTGGGTACAAGTTACCCTGGTGGGGGCTTGGCCAAGATTCAGAGGATGAAGGGTAAAAGAAATAGGCTGAATGGAACTTCAGTATAGAATGAGATAAATGTGTGTCTGTCTGACAAAACTATGTTTTTTAGTCAGTTGTGATTCCATTCTTGTTTTCTTCAGTGCAATTTAATTCCTTATTCTAGAACACTGAAATCAGGCTCCTGGAAGGAAAAATTCAAGAAATAACCACTGAGCCAGATGCTGTAAAGAATTACAAGTTGGATCTCAGGGGGGTTTATATTGTGATTGAAACATCCCAGGGAATGACTTTCATGTGGGATCAAAAGACCACAGTAATTGTTCTAGTGGCACCATCTTTCCAGGTGGGTACAAGTGCAGCTACTGGGGGACTGACTTTCAAATGACCTCCATTTTTGTGAAAGACAGTTATGTGCTAATGATTAATAGTGCTCCCTGGTTTTCTTTCAGTAATGAATGGGCAGAATTTTAGGGAGGGTGACATCTCAGAATTATGTCTGCAAAAATGGAACCCCTGTTTAAAAATTGGAGTATGAAAAAGAATTAATTCTAATGGAAAATAGGACACTAATTTTTGCCATAGTTAAATTATTTCATGTTCACATCCAAGAAGGAATACAAGACTATACAGGTCTTTAATGGTTATACCTTATCATTTATACCTCAGTTCTTTTCAAGAAGTCTTCAGCAGGTTGGTGTGTTCTCAGGAATATTTAGAATTTGCAAATATTTTTTTCTTGTCTTTTACTATTAATTTGTTAATTCATGTTCTGTGCAAAAGCAGGCCTTGTGTTGTTTTTTAAAGACCACTTATTTTAAGCTGTATATATTCTTTAGGGAAAAGTCTGTGGCCTGTGCGGTGATTTTGATGGCCGTTCAAAGAATGACTTTACCAGCAGAGGGCTGTCAGTGGAGATGAGAGTGCAGGAGTTTGGGAACAGCTGGAAAGTCACCAGCAGCTGCTCAAACATAAACACGACTGACCCGTGTGCTGATCAGCCTTTCAAATCTGTACTGGGGCAAAAGCACTGCAGTATTATCAAGAGTGATCTCTTTGGAGCCTGCCACAGTAAGGTGATCTCTCTCATTATACTCTTAACACTTCAGAGGCATTTTCTGTCATCTCTGTGCAGCAAATTTACATACACAAATCTTATTACTATTGAAGAAAGCTATGCAAACCCACAAAAACAGAAGGACTACATAGACCACCCTTTCACTGTTACACCAGTGAAATCCTACTATATCCATCTGAAGGAAATATAGAGTGAAACATGTTTTAAGTGACCATAAGAACATAAGAACAGCCATACTGGATCAGACCAAAGGTCCAACTAGCCCAGTATCCTGTCTGCTGACAGTGGCCAATACTAGATGCCCCAGAGGGAGTGACCAGAACAGATAATCATTAAGTGAACCCTCTCCTGTCACCATTTCTTTCAATCTTGGCTAATAGCCATTGATGGACCTATCCTCCATGATTTTATCTAGTTCTTTTTTGAACGCTGTTAAAGTCCTGGTCTTTACAACATCCTCTGGCAAGGAGTTCCACAGGTTGACTGTGTGCTGTGGGAAGAAAACTTCCTTTTGTTTGCTTTTAACCTGCTACCTATTAATTTCATTTGGTGACCCCTAGTTCACCAAAGACCCAAAATATAATTTTTGGCTGGCAGAGAGGAATATTGGAAATTGGCTGGAAACCTTTGGAATAATATAGCATATGGTTGCCAAAGACAAGTGAAATCATGGCCCAGTTGAATTCAGTGGAACGAAGATTTTATCCTACTTACTTTGAAGTGATACCTGCCTATTAGAAGAGTTTCACAGTAGATAACTATTCTAAATAGCTCTAACCTTGTCCAAGAGAGCATAAATTCTGCAGCAACCATCAGTGCAAGTTTCATCATTGTAGACATTTGAATCACAGTACTTAATAAGTTCCAGCTCTACCAAAACAATCCAAACAAATGAAAACAAGGCAACTTAAAATGCTAGTCAAACAGCCAGATCCCCATATACATAAACATCAACTTTGCCTCTTAGACTCATCCAAATTCTTCTAAAGAAACTGCCACTGAATGGCATACTTTTAGGGCACGTCTATACTTACCGGAAAATTGATGCTTCAGAAGTCGATCTTCTAATGTTCTATTTAATGGGTCTAGTATAGACCTGTAAATCAAATACTGAGGGTAGCCCCTGCCAGCATCCAATACTCCTCTGCAAGGAGTAAGGCAAACCAATGGGAGAATTTGTTCCTATTGTCCTCCCGCAGTGTGGATGCCATCATGGTTCGGCTTAAGGTAAGCCAACCTCACCTATGCATTGTACGTAGCCAGAGTTGAATCCCTTCAGCTGACCTTCCAAGTGCAGTGTAGATCTGACTTTAGAGCCCTTTCTCTCCTCTGAAGAAAAAGTACTGGGAAGCAGTATGTGATATAACAGAGTTTTTTTTTATTTTGTTAGATCAACCCGATGCCATATTATGAGTCTTGTGTGTCAGACTTCTGTGGCTGTGACAGCGTGGGAGACTGTGAGTGCTTCTGCACCTCGGTAGCTGCTTATTCAAGAAGTTGTAATAGAATTGGTGTTTGCATTGATTGGAGGAGCCCTAGAATTTGTCGTAAGTACTCAAAAGTGCAAATGCACATTAAGAAGCAGTGTCTGTGCGGCCAGGCATATTCCTAAGAGGGGGAAAATCCTAACATCTATGCAGGTGCATGACTCATGAGCTCTAGTGCTTTTAAGAATTAGAAGATGGACCTTATCCATAGCTCTGAGATTTGGCTTTTTTTTTTCTTTTACAGCTGTGTTCTGTGATTACTACAATCCGCCTGACAAACATGAATGGTTCTACAGGCCTTGTGGAGCCCCTTGTTTAAAGACCTGCAAAAATCCACAGGGAAAATGTGGTAACCCGTTGTATAGTTTAGAAGGTAGCTCTTGTTTGCATTCAGTAGGTCTTAAGCACATTTTAAGTGCTGTACTATAGGTGCCTAAACTAGCCCAATCTTTTTTTGAATGTCCTAAGCAACAAGATCAATTTTTCTTCCCTTGGAAGCCTAATCACACTCCCCCAGAGCATCATTGGCTAAATTCTTCCCTCCCTTACTCCTTATGGGCTTGTCTACACTATGGAGAAGATTGACTCGCTGGTGGTCAATCTTCTAGCATTCGATTTAGCGGGTCTAGTATAGACCCTCCCCCAAATAAAATGCTGAGGGCAGTCCCTGCTGGATGTTCGGTATGCCTCATTCTGTGAGGAGTAAGGAAAGCCAACAGGAAAGTGTTGGCCTCCTATAGCGAAGATGCTGCAGCAGCTCGGCTTAATGTAAATTGACATGGTGTACTTTAAGCCAGCCTCACTAGTCTAGTGTAGACCAGGCCTCAGTGAAAGTATTGTTCTCAAGGGCTGTAAGTCAGGGCAGACATAGCCTGATGCCTTCAAAGTCTTGCAGAGTTAGTGCATCGCTAATGCTATGGTTATAAGAGAGTTATCTAATGTCAATTAATAGTTGCTCATTAGAGAGAGAGAGAGAGAGAAAAGGGGACAGATGATGTATTCTTGAAGAATCCCAGCCCTGTCTGTGAAGACAAATCTTTCACTGCTGCTTCAGAGTGTGTGTTTGCATCTTGGGTCTTTCCTACGGAGGCAAAAGACTCCATGCTCTTTGCTCACTTTCCAGGCTGTTACCCAGAATGCAGCCCGGAGAAGCCATATTATGATGAAGAACAAAGGGAGTGTGTCTCGCTGCTGGACTGCCTGTCATGGTAGGTCAGGGGGATGGCAAGAAGTATGGATAGAGCTCACGTGCTAGCCAGGTATTACGAGGGCTCTGCTAGTAGAGAATCTCTGCAGCTCAGAGATTCAGGCTCTCGTCAGCTTCTTCACAAAAAAATGGTTCTTTGTCATTGGATACAGTTGTGGATTTATGCTGCTATTCTCTAAGGCTTACAGGCAAGAAAGAATGAATCACATTTGTTTTTTGTTTGTCCACAGCGACACTAAAGAAAAACTGTGCACAGAAGACTCCAAGGGTAACTGTCAATAATTAATAAATATATTCTGGTAGCCTAAAGAAACCCCAACAGAGGTGGGGCCTGCTGTGATGGGTATGTAACACATTGTGAGAGGCCGCCTCTCTCCTGAAGAGCTTGCTATCTAGATAGACAAGATAGATCAAGAGTAGGTGGGGAACAGAGGTAAAGTGACTTGCTTGTGGTCACAAAATAGGTCAGCGCTAGAGCTAGAAGTACAACCCAGCTCTCCCTAATCCCAGTCTAATGCTGTATTCATTGCACCACACAGCTGCCCCTTTATAATCTTTATATCACTTGAGCAAATATTTCTTTTTTTTCTTGTGTTCCTTAGCACACATTCCCTGGAGCTCTGAGAGGCTTTTCATGTATTTAAAGTTGTTTATAGTGGTTACCTGATGTGCAATAGCTTTCTGGGAAGCCACTATGTCATAGAGGGTATTACCAGTGCATAGGGATATCCTAACTACACTCCCTTTCTTCTGAGAATGCCTGCAAACTACAGGGCTGTCTTAAAATAGCAGTGCTATGCTAATTATGGCTTCATGTAATCCAATATTTCCTTTCACACAAAAAGACTCTTTGGGGAGCAAGTGAAACCAGCTTTCTGGCCACCAGCAGTGCAAAAGTGAGATCCATTTGGGGTGGATTGTGGCAAATCTGGGTTTTTTTGTCTTTGTTTATATCTGTTTGTGATGTGATGTTATGTGCTGCCATTGCATTTACCCTCTCATTGCCTCAGACTGCCTCTGCTGCTACCAGGAAAAGACCTACGCCTTAAATGAAACTATATACAGTCAAACAGATGGGGTTAGCTGCTGGAAGGCTGTCTGTGGCCCAAATGCAACTATCATTAGAACATTCATTCCTTGTGGAACATCTCCCACAATGGTGCCTGCTCTGGAGGAGCCAGGTATTAGATTTTGTTTATCTAAGTTTTGGTGTATTTTAGTTAATATCAATATTTGCAATTGTACCAACATTCCTAGTTCTTGAAAAACACCACGGGTGCGTCTAGACTGGCAAAATTTTGCACAAAAGTAGCCACTTTTGCGCCAAAAATTGCCAGCTGTCTACACTGGCCGCGTGAATTTGCGCAAGAGCACTGATATTCTAATGTAAGAATTCAGTGCTTCTTGTGCAAATACTTTGACACTCCCGCTCAGGGATAAGCCCTCTTGCACAAGAATACTTGTGCAAGAGGGCCAATGTAGACAGGCACCTTAATTTTTTGCGCAAGAAAGCCCGGTGGCTAAAATGGCCATCGGAGCTTTCTTGCACAAAAGTGCATCTATACTGGCCACGGATGCTTTTTTGCAAAAGCACTTTTTGCGCAAAAGCATCCGTGCCAATCTAGATGCTCTTTTGCGGAAATACTTTTAACGGAAAAACTTTTCCGTTAAAAGTATTTCTGCAAAATCATGCCAGTCTAGACATAGCCCATATGTATAATACAGTGAATGTGTAAGGACTGTATATATTCAAGACTGTCTCAGACAGATGGAACTACATAATCTAGTCTGGCTGAACTGAAGGACCAGACATTTGGGAGCAAATATGCTTTTATGTCACTTTTGCAGCTCCCCAGTATATCTTTTATAGCAGCATCAGTGGCTATTTTAATTTGCACCCTATTAGCTCACAACAGCATCAATGTCATATCACTCTAATGCCAACCTTTTTTTCTAAACCTTTTCTTCTGCCCCCTGTCCCATTGTTCACAGCACTATCCTTGCCCTGCAACCAGATGTCAGCCAATTTGCATGGATCATCATTGCAAAGAAATGCACCTCTATCCAATTGTTTGTTTCTGGAAGATCCCATATTTAAGACAAATTTAAAAATCCTCCTATTACAAAGATAATATGGTGGGGAAAGATCAATGGTGTTCCCCCCAAAACTTTTTAAAGACCTGAAGTTGAAACCAGGGAATCAACCAAAAACAAGTAGATGGTAAAATGGAGAAATTAGAAAGCAATATAGAGATGAGAGCAAAAACAAAGAACAGAACTCCCCAACATACTGCTTCTTGCACAAAGAGCACAGATATAAATTTGGACAAGGGAAAAGAGAGTATAGATGTTCTACTTAATTAGAACAAATGATATAGGATAGGCCAAACAAATGATAAGAGAGAACAAATGATAAGAGATCGGCCAAACTGCTCAGTAGCTTCTTCACTGCAGAAATAGCAGTAAGAGGACATGTAATGGAATAATAGCTTTAAAAAGAGAGAAGTCAAAGGCAAAATGAAATAGGCTGGTGAAGCACCACCTAACTAACCTACATGTCTCCAAACCAACAGGGCCCAACCCCATAGTGCTTAAGGAAAGTACAGATGAAGAATCAGAAATCAATTTCCTAAAGTCACGGAGATCAGGTGAGCTCCTGGGTGACTGGGAATGGAAAAGAGGGTTTCTAGGGAATGGAAGACCAGTGAATTTGACTTTTCTTCTTTCTGTAGCCTTCAGTTTTTCCCAATCATTGCAGTTACATAGAATGCAAAGATGGTAGGGGGAGGAATTAAACTTAGCACTTTCCAGTCCAGGATACAGTATTAGAATGTCACCCACATTTAATTATTGTAGGACTACGGAACATTATAGAAGCACCTTTCACAGCAGCAACAAGAGCATCCCCATGCTACTGCAAAGTAAATGGACAGCTGATATCGCAGGGTAAGTAGCAGTCTAATTTGATCTTCCTTACATCTGTGTTACTTTTGTATAAGGGTAGAAATGTTTGGCTGTTCAGTAAAATACCAGCTCTTGAGCAAATACACATTCCCTCTGCCAGAGTTTTCAGTTCTCTAATTATAAAACAACCATTGTTCTTCCACCAGTCAGATCTCTGAACTGGCTAAAATATCCTTGTAATTGGTAATTCTCAAAATACTGTAGCCAGATATTCTTATTCTATTTTCTATGGCAATGCACCTGAAGCTGATGCATTCAGCCAGATCCAGTCTTTATTATACTACAAACCCTGGATCCAAATTATTTAGAATTTAAGGCTTAAAATCTACAATAAACTTTTCCCCAAGGATGGTTGATGAAAGTCCCTGCTATTTCTGTTGCCAGCACCCTGAGCCATCCCATCCCCTTGACTTTGTTTTGTGAATACTGCACACAGTAGCACTAGCAAACATTATTCTAGAGCTAAATGCTTCTTTTTGGTGTAGATGTACAACTCTGACTAATGTACTTAACTATGGGCAGAAGAGTTGCAAGTTGAATGAATGAGAGGCTCTCCCATTCTCTGCCATTGGGATGAGGCCAGCTATAGTGGATTCAGAGAACTGTAGGCTGTAGGCAGAGAACTGTAGGCAGAGAACTGTAGGCTGACTACCACAACTGGTTATGGCCATCAGATACACTGTAAATAGTCGTCCTGAGCCAGTAATATTTACTGCTTGTTTTGTAGCCAATGTGGGAGAAGACGAGAATTTTCCTGTTCAGAGTGATACTATGCCACATGGAGACCAATAGTTCATGACAACAATACTGGAAAAGTATGGCAAACTCATGGGCAATCTGAGTTTAATTAGTAATTATGCTTTTGATCTTACAGGGAGTATCATATCTCAGACAACTGATGGTCTGGATCAGTGCTTTTACTCCATATGTAATGCTTCATGCCAGAGTGAATTAATCCAGGGAAAATGTGCAACCACTCCAAGACAGAGCACAGGTTCTGAGCAGCCCAGCTACCAATGTGATTCAGCTTCAAGGAGTGGACGTTGCAAAAATACTCCCACAAGTGCAACAAACACATCTACTCCCAAAGTAACTCCTGAGAGAGACTGTCCATATCTCAATCCTCCTAGAAAGGTAAGTGACCAAAAATAACACACCAGGAAAGGGAGGGGACACCTGGCACTTGGGCTGTTGCTCTGGAATTTGGACAATGCAAATGTGGATTATATTTGTGCCCTGCCTGCAAGATCTGTAAACTAAGCTAGGAAATTACTCTTTCAAACTGATCAGCAGCGGTCATGATCTCAATACTGGGTTGTGTACAAAATATTGTATAGCATGTAAATAGGTATGATGTCTTCATTGATTATTATATATAATGTGTTTTAAGAGCCTCATAGTAAAGAAAAAATGAATAGTCATTTCTGCATGCTAGTTGCTTAATTGTGTGACCTGTTCCTTACATGTACCAAAACAATGATAATTATACTACTTTCTTTTATATATCTCCCCCGCTTCTTGCTTTTAAAATGTCCACAGTTTAATGAAACGTGGGATTTCGGAAACTGTCAAATTGCCACTTGCTTGGGAGATGGAAATGATATTAAACTGTCCAGTGTGAATTGCCCTCCTCAACGATTAAGCCTCTGTGTCAATGGCTTCCCTCTGACAAAACACTATGACAAAACTGGCTGCTGTGAAGTGTTTGAGTGTCAGTGTAAGTAATAGCACATGGTGTTTGAATTGTGTCTCGCCTGATGTACATCCACATGCTCGGATTGTGCTCTACATTGTCCCTGGTTCAATGAAGTTGCTCCATACATAAATGTATATATCACCGGGGCAACAGCAAACTAATTTGAGTACTTAAACCAGTCATTTTTATTATTACATAGATGTATAAAGTTAATATTAGGAAGGAATTGTAAGGAGTAAATACAGGAAGTATGTGAGATGGGAAAGCCTATGGAAGCAGAGAAGTACCAGAATAGGATGAGTTGAAGAGAGGATAGGACTGTGTATAACAAGTGTGGGACATACAGACAGGGAAATGGCAGTAGGTTAGCAGAGTTTTCCAAGATGCAGTGTTGGATTGTTTGGCTATAGAAATTAAAAGAGAAAGGATAAGGGAGTGAGATTGGTGTGAGAAGGGAAAAGCAATCTGTTATGTGGCACAGTACAGAAGTAAGACTAGAAAAAAGGGATGGGAAGGACCATATGGGGGTGAATATGGAAAGACAAGGCTACAGATAGAAAGTGTCTGTATCAGATCAGGGATGCATAGGAAATTGAAACATCTTATCTTATTACACAGCTTGTCTTGTGGCCCTCTCTTAGGGACACTTCTTCTTTGTTATGGCATGGGGAACCTGGTAGGACTATGAAATCAGAGCACCAAAATAAGTACACCAGTGGAGATGAAAAGTCACAAAGAAAAAGTCATACTATGAGATGGGCCAAAGAAACATTGTGTGACAAAATGTGACTCTAACAGATGCCATGGAGCTGAAATGTCACTGACAGAACACCCAGGCATACATTCAAAAAGACCAAAGTAAACCAAACTTTAAGCCTCTCTCTACTTTCTAGGTGTTTGCAGTGGGTGGGGAAATGAACATTACGTGACGTTCGATGGAACATATTATAATTTCCAGGGGAATTGTACCTATCTCTTGGTGAAGCCAATCCAGCCTGACTCTCAGAGCTTCTGGATTCACATGGACAACTACTACTGTGGTACTTCTGATGGAGCAATTTGCTCAAAGTCCCTTGTCATTTTTTATAAGAACTCCATGGTTATTCTTACACAAGCAGTAGAACATAGGAAAGAAACCAACTTGGTAATGTATTTTATAGTATCCATTTGTGTATTATTAATTATTATTATTATGCTACTGCCTGCTAGGCCTAATCAAGATCAAGGATACAGATGAACAAAATTGCATGGGAGAAGAGATAATGGGAGAATTCACAAATAGTTCTGTGGAACATTTGTTCTTTTTAGTTTGTGAAAAACTTCAGTGAAAATTCCAGATTATAAAATGTCAGCTGTAGAGAAGGGCTGTAAATGGGATGTGTATGGGAAATTCACTGAAATTTGTTCCTCTCTGATTATTTATTACTCTCTGGCTGCTCACTGGTCCTGTCAAACTTGTTTGGTATTCTCCATCAAGGTCCTAGTGATAAGCATTTACATCACAAAAACAATTACCAGCATTGGTCCTAACTAGCTTTGTAGGTTCAGATTCTCCTACTGCAAAATACAAATTTGTCCCATTAAAGCTTTGGTGGGGTTACCCAATTTCTTACAGTAGGGATATTTTGTCAGCAGATTGGGAGTTTCAACAGAAAAGCCAATTGAGACGGGCTGAGAGCTACATTATTCTTTCACTTAGGCTGTGTCCAGACTCAGGGTTTTTTTCGGGAAAAGTAGCCTTTTTCCGAAAAAACTTCACCTGCGTCTAGACTGCAGCCGCGTTCTTTCGAAATTAAATCGAAAGAACGCGGCTTTTCTTTCGACGGTGGTAAACCTCATTTCACGAGGAAGAATGCCTTCTTTCGAAAGTGCTTCTTTCGAAAGAAGGTGTTCTTGAATGTAAATAGGGCTTCTTCGAAAGAGAGCATCCAGACTCACTGGGTGCTTTCTTTCGAAAAAGCGGCTTGCTCTTTCGAAAGTTCCGCGTGCAGTCTAGACGCTCTCTTTCGAAAGAGGCTCTTTCGAAAGTATCTTTCGAAAGAGCTTCTTTCGAAAGAGGCTTGCAGTCTAGACATAGCCTTAGAGGTGGTACCTCAAAGTTAGGGCTAAGGCCTGTGGGCATCGCAACACAGAGATGTTTGTACTGCAGGCCCTTACCTGCTCTGTGGTTTACTGCAGAGTGTCAGTCTGAAGTGCTGACTGTCCAGCCTATTTTGAGAGCCTGCTATTACTCCAAATAGGAGTGAATATTTGTGTCTGGTATGTGTATTTGTTCCTCAATAATAAATAATGCCATTTGGGCTTTCTGTTATGAAACCTGGTCCAAAGAACTGGATGTCAGTGATATTCTTTCCAATGGGACTTCAGCTTTGGCTCAAGCCCATGATTAACTCTCATGTCTGAAAACAAGAGCCCCTTGCTGACATAAGCCATATATTATAATTCACATGTCCCCAGGCGGCCCCAGAGAACCACCGCCAGCAGAGCCGCACAGCCTGGGGAGCTACCACCACCCTGAGCCCTCCAACCCCTGCCCTGACCCCTCCACCGACCCCACAACCCCCAGCTCTGAACCCCCCCACACACACCTCCTAACCCCTTGCCCTGACTCCTGCACCCCCCTCCCTGCACCTCTCACCCCAGATCTCATTCCTGCACTCCCCACTCTCTGTCCCCTGCCCTGAGCCCCTCTTCACCCCCTAACTCTGACCTCCTGCTCCACCTCCATACCCCCAGCCTTCTGTCCTGAGCCCTCTGTAAAGATGCAGGTAATACCAGATCACTATGCTAGTGTTTTTATATTATCTGTTTAATTTCTGATTGCAAGCAAATGACCAGAAATAAAACAGTGACTGATCCAGAAAAATGCCTGCTGAAAATTTATCACACTTGTTGAAAATCACCATCATGGGTTTGTTTTTTGCTGTTAATATTTCCCCTGAAGTGAGTAACACAGATATTAATGCTTGAAAGGCAACAAATACCCAATAGTCTAACTTTGGAGGGATTACAGAATTCTCTGAAAGCAGAATTTACCCCATCCATCCCAGAAACATAAAATGTATACACAAAGAAACATAATAAGGAGGAACATAATTCACGGAGGAATTTTGACTTGCCCTTTTAGGTTCTGTTTAACAATAAGAAGGTTGTGCCAAATGTTTCCAAGAACGGCATCAAGATAACCAGTTCTGGCCTCTACGTGGTGGTTGAAATACCTGAACTAGAACTGTATGTTTCCTATGGACGACTTGTATTCTACATAAAACTCCCTTTTCGAACCTTTTATAACAATACCCTGGGGCAATGTGGTAAGTGTTATATTCAGTTTTAATTAATGGATGTACCAATTGTTCCTCCCTTATATGTGTCAAAGTTCTCTTACATCAGGATAAGATTATTTGGCATTACAGTTTAACATATTTCTCCCTATTCAGTGGATTTAGTGTCTCAAATCACCTCTGGTACTCCTTTCCCACTTGATGGTGGCTGGAGAGGTTTCAGAGGGATTGTGTGTGTATATGTGTATGTACATGTGTGTGTTCCTTCCCTTTTTACCCCATCCTTTCAATCATATATGTTCAAGAATATTCATGAAGTCCATTTTAGGATAGATGGTCAGCCCTGTGTTTGACAGAACTGTCTAAATCACTTAAGCCATCTGGAAAAATTAATTAGTTTGCACTTTATCTGTATGTGCCACAGGGAAATGGCAAGCTAGCTATTTTGGCCTTCTCCTCCTCCAGACACTTTCTTCCTATGAACATCCTTCCAATAGGAGTTAAAACTTTCCCTATTCTTTTTGTGTGGATACCCCTTTCCTCTCTTATCGGAGCACTCTTTGTTATTTAGTCATTACACCACGTGACTTTATATTGCTGTCAGGTACGTGCACCAACCAAAAGTCTGATGATGCTATGAAGAGGAATGGAGAGATTGCAGATTCCTTCAGGGAGATGGCTTTAGACTGGAGAGTGCCAGATCCTACCAACAGACATTGTGAATTAAATAACCCGGTGCCAGTTCAGACAGAGACCTCATTATCCAAAGTAGAAGCTTGTGTTCCCAGTGCTCTTTGTAAACTCATCTGGTAAGACACACTCCTGTGTATGTTTTGCTCATACTCCAATCTACAAGAAGGCAGCTCTGTTCTGTGCAAGGCAACTGGTGAACTGTCTTTAAAGCAAATTAAATAATGGTGAATTTAGTAGATATCAAGGGCCAACATTTTAAACAGTGGCTAGTGGTTAGGGACTCTGATTTGCTGAGACTGCATATGCCACAGATGATTTCTGAGGAGGGGATTTAAGGTTTCTGTATCTAATATAAATAACAGTGCTGGATTTATACACAAGCTAAGTAAGCTTCAGTTTAGGGTCTAAGATTATAAGGGAAGCTCTAAATAAAAAACAAAATTACTAAATTTTTTTTTTTGGTTATCTAATTAGGTCTCTTAAACTTGACATAGCTTAGGGCCTCAGCATGTCTTAATCCATCCCTGATAAGTAGCAGATGAGCTGCCGGCAACTGGTGCCATAGGCGAAACATGTGATCGGTGCGCGATCTGCGCCCCCGCCTCCAAACCCTTCAAAGTCCGTTTAACTTGGCGCCCTAGGCAACCGCCTAGTTCATGCCACCACTGATAAGTAGTCATATTTGGAAAACTTAGCCCAGCGTTTTTGTGTATCTTGAATATTTTCCAGAGAATTGTGAATTAAAATGGGCACTATCAAGAATGTTCCAATCGTTTACTTTTTTAAATAATGTTGTTATTAAAAATAAGATTACCAGAATGAAACAACACACCCATGGGAAACTATTTGTACTTAGAATAACAGCACTACGGCTGCAGAGGAGCCTTACTGCCACATTTCAATCCATTATCTGATAGCTCACTGGTGGGGTATCTTTATGCTGCTGTTGGGGATGTGAGGGGAGGTGAGACTCATGGAACCTTTGCTTGAGCTAGTTTACATAAATGCAGTGTGAATGCAGTATGGGCACTAGCCACCTGAGCTTAGAATGATTTAAAGTTGGGTCTTCAGCTTCAGTTTCTCTTATGGAGTGCTTGTTTCTGAGTAGAACTCCTGCAATTAAATTTGCCAAAATGCACTGTCGAACAAGTTTCTTGTCCTTCTTCAATAAGGAATTTGACAGGCTGTCACAATGCTGTTCCACCTCAACCTTACTATGAGGCTTGTGTAGTGGATGGATGCTCAGCAATGAAGAAGCACAGCCCAAAGATGGAATGCCAAAGCCTTCAGATCTATGCGGCCCTGTGTGGATTCCATGGGATCTGTGTGGACTGGAGGAACCAAACTAATGGGCAGTGTGGTGAGTTGGGGAAGACTTTGCTAGAGTTGAAGCTGTTTTAGTCTATTCCTCTTTCTGTTTACATGTATGTATTCCCATTGTAAAACATACATAGGGCTTGCGTCTTCTTTCACATGCACCGAAGCAAATCAGGGCTTAGAACCATTGAATTATGCCAGTGCAAAACTAATGTAAATGAGGGGAGAATGTGGGCCTGGTGTTGTCACCTGAATGGTTCAACACTAGGGTAGGTTTAAAAATGTTTGTCCCACCCCACACACTTGACAATTTAAACTTTCTGGCAAATACCGGAAAAGTGCCAACACAGATTTTTTTAAAAAATTTCAGATATTTTGATTTCTGACAAGCAAAATGAAATATGAGGCCACGTCTGGAGTATTGTGCCCAGTTCTGGGCCCTCCACTAAAGAAAGGCTATGGATGCATTGGATAGGGTCCAGTGGAGGGCAACCAAAATGATTAGGGGGTTGGAGCATATGACCTATGAGGAGAAACTGAGGGATTTGGGTTTGTTTAGTCTGCATAAGAGAAGAGTGAGGGGTGATTTGATAGCAGCCTTCAGCTTCCTTAAGGGAGATTCCAAAAAGGATGGAGAGAGGCTGTTCACAGTAATGACGGATAGCAGAACAAGGAGCAATGGTCTCAAGTTGCAGTGGGGGAGGTCTAGGTTGGATATTAGGAAAAACTATTTCATTGTAAGGGTGGTGAAGCACTGGAATGGGTTACCTAGGGAGATGGTGGAATCTCCATTCCTGGCTGGGTTGATTTAGTTCGGATTGGTCCTGCCTTGGGCAGGGGGTGGACTTGATGATCTCGTGTGGTCTCTTCCAGCTCTATGATTCTACATTTAAGGAAAGCAGTTGCTTTCTGTGATTTTTTTCCCTCTTTGGTAAACAAAAAAAAAAAAAAAAAAAAAGCTGTCAAATTTTCCACAGAAAAATGTTGACCGGCCCTATTCAGCACTCACGCCAGCCAGATCTCCCTCCTCACTCTAATCAGTTAGAGGGGCATCTCTTGAGTGCTAGACAATCCACTGCATTAAAAGAGCCTGAAGGCCAGATTCTGCTTTGTTATAGTTATATAAATAGATAGTAACCCCACTGATTAAAGTGGGATTACTCTGAATTTAGGTCAGTGTGACAGAGAAGAATTTGGCTTCATTCACAACATTCTAATCTAGGCACTGTCCTAATGCTTCTTCTAGGGTTTAAGATGGGGGCGGGGGGAAGATCAGAACCTGGCCATATTTCAGTGTGTCACTAATGGTCTTTAGTGTGTTAAAATATGAACTGCAATTTCATCACTAGATGGCAATATTACTCAAGTCATTTGTTTTCCCTCTGCCTGTTTTGTCTCTTCTTGTCAGAACCATTTATTCCAGTTTACTAGAATAATTAGTCTATATGATTGCAAACATCACGGAACTCCTCAGTTGAAACAACCTCCTTTGTGTTTTCATCTGGGTGGGATATTTTATCTAATACATTATAATTTTTATCCAAGTGTGTTAGATAGAGCTGGCACTCTAATCGGCATATTGTAAATGTTCCACAGAAGCCAAATGTTCTCAGGACCAGATCTACAAGTCATGTGGGGGAACAGAAAGAAGCACTTGCTTCAGCAGGTGGGTGATTAACCAAGCATTAAGGGCTAAGGCTGATATTTCAAGAAAAGCTGAAAGGAGTCAGAATCCCAATGGGATTTGTGTGACTAATTCACCTTGGCCAAATTCCTATTCAAAATTCTGTGTTATATCAGCCCTAAAAGGAGGCTAAAAATAGCTTGTGTCATTCATCCTTCCTTATGTGCATGCAGGAAAACCACCAATTATGCTATCCCCTTGCAAGATAAAGATCCAGAGCTTCTTGAATGC